CCAAACGGGCGAAGACGCCGGCCACAATGACGATGTCGTCATCACCGACAGTTCGGAGCTAACCCCAGAACTAGTCGTAGCAATAGCAGACGTAATAGGCGTACCGCCCAGCACAGACGTCGTACTCGTAGTCACAACCATATTTAAAATCCAAATACCACGACTAATCCGCAAAAATAAGAGTGAAACCAATTAAAATATATTTAACACCGTTATAATAAATCAAACCAATTATAGGTGTGAAAGTCAAACCACAAATACACAATAAGGGTTCTCACTCAAATAATATTCGATGATAAAGCTCAATTAATTAGCAAAATAATAAATCAAACCAATTATGGGTGTGAAAGTCAAACCACAAATACACAATAAGGGTTCTCACTCAAATAATATTCAATGATAAGGCTCAATTAATTAGCAAAATTAAAATTACTAACTAATATCTATGTATACAACCACTAAATAAATTAGGGTTCACAACACACGACGCTGTAACAGAAAACAGGTTAGGCCTACCCAACCGACTATAAAATCACAGCAGGTCTGCCTAAAACTCTGCTCAACAGCTCAGGTCCGCAGCCAATCTGCACAAGTCCGCAGCAAATCTGCACAAATAAAATTATTTTGTTCGGGCGCCGTTAATACGTCAGCAACTCAGCACCACTGCCAACCTCAGTCCCTGTTCGCAGGCGCCATCTTGCGACGCTACTTTTCTGCACTGGGAAAATAATACATTTAAAGTGCAGCAGTCGCAAACGTTTGCCGGGGATAGCTCAGCCTACAATGGCTGGGTAAAATTCCAGGGTCTGCAACAAGGTCAGGGAAACCACTAGGCCAAAAGCCGGGTCTAACCGGTATAGGACTGGCTCATACACGGGCACTGTGAAAAAGTCAAAAACAAGTCACCAAAACAAACGTGCAATAATCACTACCAGGCCTACGCCGATTCTCCACACTCCTAGGGGGTCGTTGCTGACTACGCAACTCGGGCTTCGTCCTAACTACCCAATAGTTAAGCCCAGAGTGCCTAAAACACGGTGAGTTACACGACGACTTGCCAATAAAAACCACAACGCGTGTTATCACCAGGCGGGGTCTACTAGGCCACTATAATCCAATACACAACTCTAATGCCCAAGCTAAGAATCAAACAGTTCACTCAATAATCGTACCACATAATAATATACAAGTACACTATAGGTAGAGTGACTACACCACTAGTAGCTGGTCTCAATAAATACCAAGCCAAACAAGCAAAACTAAATGTAAATTGCAATAGCCTACTATTAAATTATTGAGCAACTTAGTAGCAGATGAATAAATATTAAATACGTTCCAAACACTAGATAAATATATTATCTGATAGCCGGTACTCCGCTGTCCAAGCTACCAAGCTAACGTGTTGGATTACTAAGCAAGCTGTTCAGGTTGAAGTAAAATAATCAAATGATTAATTAATAACAACCCTACTGCTACTACTACGACATCAACGTTATATTACTTAGCTGGGCTTCTGTTAACAGGCTAATACAATTAGCTACTAGCCTACTGGCCGCGTGCTTCCAACTACGCACGCCAAATCGTGCAGCCTAGGTTTGTCGGGCCTCAGAGTTATTAGTAATATAACTAACTCTTTGTACAACGCAAAATAATAACTACTACAGTCAATAAATTATATTATTTGCGCTCTAGCACCTGCCCAGAACCGTCAGGAATACACTTTAATATTATTCCTGACTAATATAAATCCTAACTACCGTCAGGCTTTGACCAGCACGGTTACAACTCTAACCCTCGCAAATAAATCAGATATTAATATTATCAAACTAATAATATCAAGTCGTCCACTCACCTCAAGTGGGTCACTGACTTACTACCCAACTTGACACCAACACGCCTTGAGCACCAATATCACACCGATGTCACCAAAGCACTCCCCGTCTCACTCGACAATCACGAACCAGCTGTTCACTGCACGGGATCCACGACTAGAATGTCTGTCCTAGGTTATCCTGAGAAACTAGGATATCCCAGGCTTATCGGCACTGATAAGCCGGGTCAAAGGGCGCTAGCCAGGTTCGCCGCCGCCGCTTGCCTACCTCAACAATCGGTGCGCGGCCAAATAGCAAATATATACCCCCCTAGGAAAAATAACTCGTTACATAGTATAACGTCCTACCTCTATTACGCAGTGATGAGTGATTATAGCCCTCACCTGCTAATCAGAAGAACGCCGGTTCAATCCTGAGAAGATGCAATAGCTTTTTTATACTTCTGAACTTAACCCAGATGCTCGTTTGGATCATGGTTACTTAAACGGTTGATCAAGTCAGTAAAACATCTTACCACTCAGTTTTGCAAGTCACATTTCTCAGTCATAATCGTCTTCCAAATATGCAATCCTAATATGACTGAAATCAGTAAAAATATCCTTTGTTTAAATCAAGGGCCTACAAAATAAACTAACTTTACTCCTGTTAAGAGTCTATATAGACTGTACCAATATTCTATGCCAAAAGCTACCAAACTATGTAACCCTAGGGGATCCATTGTTGTCCAAACAGTGGACAACCTGTTATAAAGCTGATAATACAATCCCCGTTGGTTCTTATCAGATGAATAATCTTGCATGGTTACATGGTTCTGTCCTATACAGATCTAATGAAATAAACAAATATTGCTCTATTCTAACGTATTTTTTGTTTCAACTCAGTTTTTACAGCGAGCGGTCTAAAGCATGTAACATTTCCATTATTTTTTATCATACCTCCACACATCCTACAAAATTCTCGGTTTTCACAAAATATAAGTAAAACAATGTCAAAACTTAATCTGTTCCTGAACTCAAATTTAAAACAAATGCCATCGTTTCTGCTAATAATTAATATGATATTTTGAATTATGTTTTCCACACATAAAAAAAATATATTTCCAGTAATAAATTCAAAATTTCCAAGTGAATATAATTCAAACACCAAATTATTTCAAAACAAGAATTGAGTATTTATTATGATTAACATTGTCTACTGGAATCTATCCAATAAACTTGAAATTCTTCAATAAACCACAATCCACTATCTCGCCCCCTTCCACCTGATGTGGCGTTTAGAATGTGAGCCAATATCACATTCTATCTGTTATGTTTTGTAGTAAACCGTCAGGAAATGTATTTTTACCTTCTCCTCCAATTTATAGTAAATGGAGTATTGTTTTCGCCAAAATTTTAGAGTGTTGGTTTTCGGTAGAAATATCAGTTTTTTGTGGTCCTTCTAAACCCAAAATAGTGGTTTCTGAAGTGACGTCTTATTGTGAATGTTTACAAAGCTTCAGACTACAATTCGGGTTGTGATTGCTAATTGATGGAAGGCCTATTACCAGGCTTTTCAGGTTTTGACATTTTAATTTTTATTGGAAATTTTGCCTTAAACCCCATAAAATAATGGAAAAGTCCGATTTCTGCTAAATCGGCTCTAAAGATTTTTATTAATATTTAGTATGTTAAACCCTTTCAACTTTAACTAAGGAGGAACCCCTTAATGATGTAAAACGTCCGTAAAAAATGTGTTGTATTTTTCATGATTTCCCCCCAAAAATATCATGGTTACTCCCACTACTTTCCCATTATACGGGCTGTTGACAAGGTAATGGGAGGACACATGTGTCAGTTTGCTTATCCCGTTTATTTATTATAGTTTTCATAATGTTTTAAAACTGTTCCAAGCAGTTACGTGTATTACTTAACAATTAATTGCTACAGCTTTCCTACGTGCTAAAATAGATTTGAGGGAATGATTAATTTGGGTTGTGTTGCTAGCCTATTGGTTAGCGTCTTGGACTTGGGTGTGGCAGAGATGGGTTCGATGGTCATCCAAAAAATATGAGTTTGGACAACATTCTCTAAAACCATTAGAAAACTCTCTTTAATAACACTTTCAAAATTGCCCCTAGCATAGAATACAATAAAAAAAAAAATAATAACTCCTTAGATATACATTTTAATCAAATACGTACATTTTAATTATGCTACATGTTTATCATGAAAATAGGATATGTATTTGATAAATAGGCAAAGCTCGAAATATGTTATTGGAGATAAAAAAAATATATTAATACACTGTACGTAGCCTATAATTCTAGGGGCTAAAGTTACTCTTTTCGACAGTTTGAGGTTTAACGACGTTTGCGAAGCCAAATCTGATAAATGAGAACACCAATTAATTCGATCTTTTTTTATAAATGTTTCTTGAGCGTGAATTTTACTGCAAAGAAAAGACATAACAGTAACAATTGTACAATATTTGCATTAAATATTGCAGATATAGTGCTAAAGTATCAGATAATATCACGTTACTCTTGGCGTCTAATAGAAGTACAGAATAGTGTGTGATAATTTTAAAGACAAATGTTGGATTTCTTTGTTTTATCTTTGACAGTCTAGCTAGACATTCCATCTTAAACTTCTTGACAGATTTTTTTATTAATATCGCCTTAGTTGATGTGAACCACCGACAGATTACGCTGATCTCACTTACTAACTTTTATCGAATAGACGAAATGTTTGATCAATTCAATATAATTGGAATAACCTATGGCAAGCTATAACAACTTTTATAACCCATCATCTTGGTCAGCAACAAAAGATATTGTGTTGAATTGTTGAATAGAATTATTTTAGACTAGATCATTCTGTGACTGGCTCACACAAATACCTTTTTTAAATAATAAAAAAAAAAAATAATAAAAATGGGGATTGCTGGTCCATTTATATGGGATGTCTACTTCAGAATCCAATAGTCTATGGTATTAAATCCGCTTTATTTTTACTCCTCCTATTTTCGCCAAGATTATCATGGTGTTTTGTGAAATACGATACACAAAGTCAAAAGTACCCGACTGTAGGAGCACGTTTGACCCCATTGTACATCACCTGTTACGTCTGCCTGGTGATCAGCTGTTACAGGAGGCTGTGCTGCATTGTTGATCAGCTGTTTTGTCAGCAGGTCGGCGAACCGGCTGGCGGGGAGGCGGTTCCGGAGCTCCAGCCTTCCAGTCAGTGCTCGGCCTCGCTGGACGGTGTACCGGATCCACCACGGGACGAACGAGGGACCAACATGTCTTCTTACAGGTAGGATAGAGGGAAAAATCACCGTAAAAGTTTTAAAACTACCTTCACTTACTAGTGAATCCATAGACGAAGTCCGTTTGTTGTGTCTCTTGAAAGTGGTACCGTATAGTGTACTTTTTTCAACCTATGCTTGCTGTTAGTTGCTAACGGAATCCATAGGCTAACTGCGTTTGGTGTGGGGTCTCTTTAACGTGGTACTGTATAGGATTCTTTTTAGGTGTCAACTGCTATAATCAATTCAACAAAACTACGGTCCTATTGGAGATGACTTGTAGGGTATTGGTCCTTCCTGATGTTCCAGTGGGCGATGAGACCGTGGGGCTGAGCTAGGGCTTTGCCCTCTTCTGCCAGAAGGTTTAGGAGCTTTGACAGACGTTCAGCGCGCATAACACGCTTAACTATTTATATTACACTCGATGAATTATTGTAATGCCGATACATTTCACTTAAACACAAGAACCCAGTGAGTAGTTAACACATTACAGAAACATACTGTATTGGCTACGTGTATGACTCTCTACAAATCAAACTTACTTTACCTTGAAACTTTTTTTCAGTATCGTACGGTATAACAGTACTGTACGTAATTGTGGTTTTGTTGTGAGTATTTTTTAAGTTGTTAAACAAAGTATATCAAACCATTCTCCAAATGCACTTTAAGAAGTAGATCCTAGAATAATAAGCGGTATGTAAACTAACATAAAAAAATACACATAGGCTATAGCTAAATTCTATATGAAATTGCATTCTATTTCTACGGAGGGAATTAAAAACTTCAACATTAATACAAAGTAATTCATGGTAGTATCATTACAATATTTCAAGATTCAAGAAAAGCTGTTGCTATCAAGGCGCATGTTCAATTACTGGTGGATTGAAGATACCGCAGTCGTAACAATAAAATGTTTAACGTCACAAAATGCCTCCTCATCGTCACATCTTGGTATCGTATGTCTCGAAGATGATTTCTTGTATAAAGAAATACTCGTATGCGTAAGAAGAAAAATACGATAATCTGTTTACTCGATCGGAAAGTCTTTCGGCAATATATTGTTATTCTCTCCGATATGTTTGTTTACTTTGAGTATTTGATATTCTTATACGTATTTACGTCTTTCAATTTAAGATATATACGACATGTTAAAGACGGTATTATTCCTTTCCTTGGTTTAAGGATGTCATTGAATTTAATGTTTATTATTTGAACGTTTTACGGTAAATATTTTAAATATTCATTCTCATAGCCTCTGGACTACGAAGATATGGCTTTTTCGGCGACCAATAATCCAAAATCGCAATTTAGTACCTAGCGATTGGCCTAAAAAGTTAAAGATTTTAAATATAATAGCTACGAGTACCGGAAATTCCAGAAGAATGTTCTTGAAGATATGTAGTGTTTTTTTGTTTTGTCACACAAAAACCAGCCAAAAAGTAATACAGCATTATATATCCTCATCTAAGAAGACTGTGAACTCAACCCCGTCTAGATTTCAGCCCCATAATAAGGTCGAATCCTGTTGTGCTGTTAAATGATCAGGATACATTAGGTGACCACAGTTTTGAATCAAAAGGGTTATGAATCTAACTAAGTGGTTAGAACAGATGACTCACTAAAACGTATCTACACAGTTTGCCTTTGGTATTACAATTTTGCCAATTTTTTCAACAATGTTTACATGTTTGTGTTTGTTTTCGAGTGTTTATAATGGCTACGAATAAACCCTGCTTGGATTCTTCCAACTACTGTACTGTAATTGGTTTTTAGAATTTTATCCATTATTTTAAAACCCGTTGTCACCAAACAAAAACGGGATAGTGCGACAGTACAAAAAGTACAGTATACCTATAACCATTTCTAATACTATGCCAGTGGCATTTTAAAAGAAAGTAAGAATAACATTATCACAAACAAATAGGAAAGCAGTCTGAACACCTTAATTACTGTTGTGGATATTTTGGTATCGGACACGTATCCCTCCTACGTTCAAGATTTTGACCAGAGTCTAGTAACCTTCAACTTTTGACTGATAAACTCCTGGAATACCGGTTTCAAGTATTTGCACATCACCTTTGGAAAACTTCCAATATTCATTCCATAAAGGAAAATATCACTTGTTGCCTTTGTTGTTGCTTTGATATTAAAACTATTGGTCGCTTAGAGAAATTGTCACCTCATTATTCAATGGTTACCGGTTCAATGAAGGTGATCGCTATGGATGCCAAGTTGGGCTTATTTTCAATTTTTAGGTACACAATTAATCACACTCAACAACAGGTCAAAATGTAGAAGAAGTCAAGTAATGGTTACGTCCCCACACTAAAAATTTCATTATTTTTCTCTTCTGTGAAAATAACATGTGTTTTGGGTATTTTAGGGGACGTACAATGTTTTAACATATTGTAGGACAGCTTAAGCAATTACAATATTGTAAGTAAATAATGTTGAATTTCAGAGCAAAATGGGAAAAGATAAAGAATCACAAATCGTTATTGACCTACCGTACCTAAAAGGACAGTTTCGTTTTGTCACAGCAAGCAAGCACAGGTGGGAATACCTGTTGGAAGTCTACCATTACTAGTATTAAGTATTTCCTGACAAACAGTTACTCACGCAAGCCCATTCACACCACTGTTTTAGTGACGCAGCGAAAGTAACGTGTTTTCGCTCATTGCTCAGCAAAACCCTTTCATCTCTCACTTCGTTGACTTTTAAGTTAGTTCACACTTTTGAAGACGTATCTGCGCGGAATGAAAACAAGGCATTTCCATTCATTTGTAAACATTGGATTGTAAGGTAAATTGTTCGTTGAGTTTGAAGAGTTACATCATGAGTAATTGTATATCTTTGGTATGAACGTTAAATGTAATGATTCCTTTGTATAAATGTATGATACTGTTTCTAAAATAGATCCTAAAATTTAATCAGCAAAGATTTCAATACTCTCAAAGAATTAATTCGTTATGTAGTATTTCATTCAATATAAAATAAACTATCACCCACTAGGTAGCAATAAAAAGTATTAAAACAATGCTTTCTCTTCATATATGGTGAGGTATGTTCATATAGTTGTTGTCTACAGGTTCAAGTATAATTGCATAAAACGCTTATAAAGTTAGGAATGTAAATAAAGTTAATCGGTACTTTGGTACTACAACGACCTAACCTACTAACTATAACCTAACCTAAACTAAAAAATACACATAAGCTATAGCTAAATTCCATATGAAATTACATTCCATTTCTACTGAGGGAATCATAAAATTCAACATTATTACGAAATAATCCATGGTAGTATCATTACACAATATTAAAAAAAATATTGAAATAATAATTGAAATAATTTTTTAATAGACTATGTTTTAGGTAAAGTTAAGTTAGGTTAGGAAGATTTTGTTAATTAAACTAATTAAAATCTTATTTGGAAGTCCATTCATCGGTAATAGGTATAATTCCAAAGTACCCGTTAATCTTATAAGGAATACATAGCATTTATCTATTCTAGTATGACAGACAAATTAATAACTAACAATAAAAGTGTTATACACGATAGGATTGTTATATATTTTTCCTAATTGAATAAAACCGGAAACCTTTGTGAAACGTAACATCACGTCCATTTATATTATATTTTAAGTGGGTTACAGCCGAAAATCTACCTCCACTTTAATATTTTTTTCCTCCAATCTTTGTTTTAATGTATCTAGTTGCTCGATTTCGAGCACGAATGTGACAACTCCGGTTCGAAACACTTCCTAGGGTCACGTCCGTGTTAGCCTTCACAGGCAAAGCTTTCTCTGTTGGAATTACTTTGAGGTGACGAGTCGATAGTATCGAGAGGAAAAGTATTACTCGATGAAAGTGTGTGGTTTTGTATCATTGGTGCGTGATGATTAATAATTCCACGCCAGGAACATAAATAGTTGTTTTCGTGTTGGCTGCGGTTTTGTGCGGATTGTATCGTGCTTTGGTCCTAATGTATTCATACGATTTTTGAGGAGGAGACAGTTATAAACACAGAGAGAAAATATTTAAAAGGTATCAGAATTATAATGCTATGAATTTCGCTCACTATAGAGCGGTAATGTCCTTAAGCAATACGTTCCGGAAGGCAATATTTTCCTACTTAAATTATTCGACTAAACTGTTAAAGATTATAAAACTAATATAGACTTGGCGTGTAACTTAAAAGTTAACTGGATCGATCCTGAGAAAGTCAGTAGCTTTTTGGTGGTTCTTAACTCAGCTGTAACTGTTCTTTGGGCTTTAAATAAACGATCCTGCATAAACAGCTGATTTTAGTCCGTAACAAAGCTACACACATAATCTTACTCAATTCTAATCGCATTTCCTCACTAATATTTGAGTTATAATGTATAAATAAAAATCCTTTTTAAAAATTGCCACGTTTTAAACTCATTAACATTTTTAAATAATTTATAAATATGCGGAGAGAGTAAATACTTGTAAGATTTAAAAACGTGGGTTGCATGCAATCGCTAATTTACAATAACCTTCCCCTATTGAATTGTTATTATCTATTGCATGCAACCCACGTTTTTCGTTTTAAATCTTACAAGTATTTATTCTCTCCACATATTTATAAATTATTTTAAACTTTTTAGTGCGTGTGAAATCGTGTTATTTTTAAAAGGGATTTTTATTTATAAATTATTTTCTACTTTTTTGTCTTTAACGTGTAAATATGTTAAATCTATTTTATATGGCCTGTTAATACATAACCAATACCTTATTATCTGTAATCAGATGTTTTATCTTTGTATTGAAATGCTTGTTTTACATTTTAGAATATCTCGGGAGCAGAACCTGTACCTACCTCTTAACATCTGCTCTTCCAACTGTCAAATTTAAGTATTTACAGCTGACTTCAATTAATATTTTTAAATTCTTTCAAAATGTGGACAAGGAAAATTTGGAAGCCCATGGGGCTTAGCCCAAGATAAATATGAAAACTAATGATATAATATTGCATTGTCGTCCA